CAGTAAAAACCGTTTATTAAATTTTTACTCCCCACTAAAAATCTTATATTAAATTTTTACTAGCATTATGAGATTTTTATGACCACTATAATATCATGGGGCAAAATGTATTTTTGTAACAAAATCACGTTGTATTTTGAGAATAGTTTTCAACGTTTTAATTACTGCGGTTTCTTGAAAAGCAATAAGAAGCGAATCTTTTAGTTCCATATTTCTAAAAATTTAACTATGCATACTGAATTTGCCGACGTTTATAATTTTTTAAAAAGAAGCATATATCCAAAGACAGCTATTAGTAAAGGTGATAAGTCGAACTTTCGAAAAAAAAATAAAACCATTTGTAATTGAATGAGCTGTATCGTTTGGGTAAATCTGGCGTTAAGGTAAACAGTTTATATAATTAGAGTTTTTTATACTAGCGTGGTTTGCGATAAATACATACACTTTTATGTATACGCCTATGTATCACGTTTTACATAATAACGTATTACATAATAATATCATGTTTTAATAATGTATCATGTAATAATAATACATAATATATAATAATATGTTTTACATAATTACATAATAAAAAGCTTGTACTTTACTACCCAGCGGGCATTTTGACGTCCTAAGGACGTCCGTAAGTCGTCTTTAGTCTCGTCCGTAAGACATCCTTAGTTAGTCTCAAATGAAAGTTTTGAGGACGTCTATTCCAGACGTCCTAAAAACGTCTTTTTAAGACGTCCTAGAAACGTTTTATGCAGACGTTCTAGAGGCGTCTCTGGCTGGTCTCATATGAAAGACTTAAGGACGTCTTTTTCAGACGTCCTGGAGACGTTTGAATTTTACCAAGACATTCTTTTAAAAGTTTTTCAAACAAAGTTACATTTTCCAAATTTAAAACTAATAGGTACTGTAGAAGTTAATCGATAGTGCATTATAAATAGAAGAAAATTGCTTATAAAAATGGAAAAAAAACAAAAAAATACAACAGTTAATTAAGCCATCATTGATCGAAATCCATATTAGTGGATGTTCTTTTTATTCGGTCAGAAGAATGCCTACTTACTCTCCCAATAAGTTGGATGGCATTCATTTTGGTTAAGTTTTTATTTGACTTAAAAGCAGCTTCTAAAAAAAAACAACAAAACATGTTTCAATAAGATATCAAAATAAAATACACATGTCATGTATTCATACACTTGAATACATGTCATGTTCCACAGCCAAAGAAATTAATTTTTTTTTTTAATTAAAACATCATTTTTAATTTTTAAATAATAAAACACATTAATAAGCTAATAAGAATACCAGTGACAGGGTTACATAGAATTGTCAACTCTTTAAACTTTTTTTTCTTCTTTAGACAATTCATGCTGTATTCTGACAAAATAGTGTCTGTTGGCAGTCTACATATACGAAAAAGAAGATAAATGCTGTACTGTCAATCATAAATGTTAAAATTCAAACTTTTGCTAATTACTTACAAGAGCAAAATATTTTTAACTGTATCAGCTAGATTTTTACCGCCAATTAATGATAACTGTTTCACCTAAAAAAAAACAATGTATAAGAAACATCAAAAATGTTAATGACAATCAGGGGCGGACTGGCCAAATTATTATGATGTGGAAAAATATTTTTAACGGCCCTGTAGGCCAACGAAAAATGAGGAAAAGCAGCAAAGATAACAGACGTAAATTACAAAGTTATGCTTAATTTATAAATATATACATTAATGAATAAATATCGAACAGAAAAAATTTATTAGAATACATATACGTAAAAACAAAGTACTTAACAACGGCCCATGTGGAATAGTCCACATCTTCCACATGGCCAGTCCGCCCCTGATGACAATTTAAAATAAATATTGTAATAATATATAACATATATACTATAAAGATGAAACTCATGTATACAAAAGTATATATGTATATATATATATATATATATATATATATATATATATATATATATATATATATATATATATATATATTTATATATATATATATGTATATACATATATATATATAAATTATATGTATAAATTCTTAGCTGCATTTTATTATCGTCGAAATGTCAAAGCTATTAAATTAATGCCGAAGTACATTAAATTTTATTGTTTTTTAAAAAAACCGTAATAATAAGAAAGTTTTTTTTAATTAGTGGTGTTTTTGTTTTTGTTTTATTAAAAAACATTTTTAAAACATGCGTAAGTATTGCTACATTGACTATTTTATAGCCTGCTGCTACAAGGGAGTGTTGCTACATCAACTATCTTATAGCCTGACTCGCAATGGAGTGCTGATACATCGACTGACAAATAGCCTGACTTGCAAGGGAATGCTGCTACATCGACTGGCAAATAACCTGACTCGCAAGGGAGTGCTGCTACATCAACTGACAAATAGCCTGACTCGCAAGGGAGTGCTGCTACATTGACTGAGGGTTTGGTTTGGGCAGGTAGTCTATCATTAAAAAAAAAATTTTTTTCAATGTTTTTTAACATTTTCTAGTCAGGCTTATTAACGCGCTCTTTAAAGCAATAGTTTATGGGAAAAACTTTGTGACTACCATGCAAAACTATATATATATATATATATATATATATATATATATATATATATATATATATATATATATATATATATATATATATATATATATATATATATATATATATATATATATATATATACATATATATATATATATATATATATATATATATATAAAACTATATATATATACATATATATATATATATATATATATATATATATATATATATATATATATATATATATATATATATATATATATATATATATATATATATATATATATATATATTACAGAGAACGACTCTGACTCCAATTCCAACTCCAAAGCAAAATTTTTGAATATTTCCTTGAATTCTTTAAAACAATATTATGTAATGATTAAAAAAATCTTATTTGCCAAATATATATGAAAAGTTCTTTGAAGGTTAAATAATTTTTACATGCACATGCAATACAGAGAAGTTTTACTATTAAAGTCAGAGTCGCGATTTTGTTTAGCAACTTTGACTCACTTTCAATGTCGCAACTCCAACTCTATGACTACGCAACCTCAATTGCTCTGTTCTTTAAGAGCATTGCAATTGCAAACATCACTCTGTTTGCAGAATACACTAACATAATTTGTACATTATAGTTTATAGATCATAGAGTATAGAATATAGAAAATTAAAAAGTATCTTTAAACGGATAAATAACTAAACAAAATTAATAGTCTCAAAATAATCAACCAAAACAAGTAGACATATTTAATTAACCGAGTTAGCGCATAATATTGTATGCGCCAAGTTGATAATATTAATTTTTCTACTTATTTCTAAGGTAATTAGGACGTCTAATGAAGGTTTAGCGACGTCAATAGGACGTCTAAATATCGAAGTCCTAATATCGTCTTTATATTGTCACAAGAACGTCCTAATATGTCTTAATAATATGGAAGTCCTAATATGTCTTAATAACGTCACAAGGACGTCCTTACAAAGACGTCTTTACCGGACGTCTTTAGGACGTCCTAATTTGGTCTGCGACGTCGCTACCTAGTTAAGACGTCCGTAAGGCGTTTGATTGACGTCTGTGCCCGCTGGGTAGTATAATACTGCCGTGATAAGGAAAAACACAGTAACTGTAAAAATATCCACTTTGCACTCTTTTAATAAATATATATATTTTATAATAGCATTTTTAATTTTATTTTAGAGAAAAGTTATTTGGTGCAAAGAAGAGCAACACCATATAAGTCTGTTCATGATGGTAATGATATTTCTAATGAGGCTAACGCATTATCTGGCCACATAGGCATCAATTTAACAACAGAGCATATTAAAAAGAGATTCTTTTGGTTTGGTATGGTAAAAGACATTACAGCCTATGTTTCAGAATGTAATAATTGTCAAAAAGCAAAAAACAAGAAGCCTCAAGTTAAACCATTGTTACAAAGCATATCGATTCCAAAAGGTAACATGAAACAGGTTGGGATCGATTTTACTCAACTTCCAGAAGTAAATGTAAACAAATATCTGATAGTACTTGTTGATTACTATGGGTAGAAGCTAAACCTCTGTTTGATAAAACAGCAAAATCTGTGGCAATATTCCTGTATAAACAAATATGTAGACACGGATGTTTTGAAATACAGATTAGCGATCAAGGCCGTGAATTTGTAAATGAGCTTTCAAATGAACTGCACAGGAAAACTGGGACACGTCAACGCATGACGAGTGCATACCATCCGCAAGCAAATGAATTCAGCAAATCTAATAGATAATATAATAACTTCAGATATTTTTAACAATGATTTAAAAGTAGGTACCCACCGGGCATTTTGACGTCCTAAGGACGTCCGTAAGACGTCTTAGGTCTCGTCGGTAAGACATCCTTAGTTAGTCTCAAATGAAAGGCTTGAGGACGTCTATTCCAGACGTCCTCAAAACGTCTTTTCAAGACGTCCTAGAGACGTTTTTGCACACGTTTTAGAGACGTCTCTGGTTTGTCTCATATGAAAGACTTAAGGACGTCTTTTTCAGACGTCCTAGAGACGTTTGAGTTTTACCAAGACATTCTTTTAAAAGTTATACAAAAATGCAATGATTTACAACACACACCTTAGATTTGCCTTAATCTAGGCGAGGGAAGTTATAAAAAGAAATCAATGTAAATTAAGTTTAATTTGATATATTTAAAATAAATTAATAACTTTACAAAAAATAAGAATAATTTTTCAAACAAAGTTACATTTTTCAAATTACAAAATAATAGGTACTGTAGAATATAATCGATAGTGCATTATTAATAGAAGAAAATTGCTTAAAAATAAAAAAAATAAAAAAATACAACAGTTAATTAAGCCATTATTGATCAAAATCCATATTAGTCGGTGTTCTCTTTATTCGGTCAGAAGAATGCCTAATTACTCTCCCAATAAGTTGGATGGCATCCATTTTGGTTAAGTTTTATTTGACTTTAAAGCAGCTTCTAATAAAAAAAACAAAACATGTTTCAACAAGATCATAAAACAAAATATACACGTCATGTATACATACACTTAAATACATGTCATGTTCCATAGCCAAAAAAAATAATTTTTTTTTTTTTTTTTTTAATTAAAACATCATTTTTAATTTTTTATTAATCAAACACATTAATAAGCTAATAAGAATACCAGTGACAGCGTAACATAGACATGTCAACTATTTAAACTTTTTTTTCTTCTTTAGACAATTCATGCTGTATTCTGACAAAATAGTGTCTGTTGACAGTCTACATATATAAAAAAGAAGTTAAATGCTGAACTGTCAATCATAAATGTTCAAATTCAACATAAACTTTTGCTAATTACTTACAAGAGCGAAATATTTTTAATTGTATCAGTTAGATTTTTACCGCCAATTAATACAACTGTTTTACCTAAAAAAAAACAATGTATAAGAAACATTGAAAATGTTTATGACAATTTGAAATAAATATTGTAAAAATATATAACATATAAACTATTAAGATGAAACTCATGTATACAAAAGTGATGTATTGGATATCTCCATTTGCGAATTTTTTATTCAAAACATTAAGTTTATCTGAACTTTATATATATATATATATATATATATATATATATATATATAAAGTTTATCTGAACTATATATATATATATATATATATATATATATATATATATATATATATATATATATATATATATATATATATATATATATATATCAGTGTATATTATACATACAACTCCAACTCCAAAGCAAAATTTTTGAATATTTCTTTGAATTCTTTAAAACAATATTATGCAATGATTAAAAAAATCTTATTTGCCAAATATATGAAAAGTTCTTTAAAGGTTAAATAATTTGTACATGCACATGCAATACAGAGAAGTTTTACTATTAGAGTCACAGTCGCGATTATGTTTAGCAACTTTGACTCACTTTCAATGTCGCAACTCCAACTCTATGACTACGCAACCTCAATTGCTCTGTTCTTTAAAAGCATTACAATTGCAGACATCACTCTGTTTGCAGAATGCACTAACATAACTTATATGTAAATATATATATATATATATATATATATATATATATATATATATATATATATATATATATATATATATATATATATATATATATATATATATATATTATATATATATATATATATATATATATATCATACACACACACACACACACACACACACACACACACACACACACACACACACATATATATATATATATATACATACATATAAATATATATATATATTGATATATATATATATATATATATATATATATATATATATATATCAATATATATATATATATATATATATATATATATATATATATATATATATATATCAATATATATATATATATATATATATATATATATATATATATATATATATATATATATATATATATATATATATATATATATATATATATATATATATGTATATATATATATAGCGATCATCAGATGTAACAACAATAAAAAGTAATGACAAAAATTATATACAAAAAATGCTATGGAGTGTCCACTCCATAGCATTTTTTTGTTACATCTGATGATCGCTATTGCGTGAAACTTTTAGTGATGTAATTGAAATATATCTTAATAATTATTTAGTTTTCACTATTTATATATATATATATATATATATATATATATATATATATATATATATATATATATATATATATATACATATATATATATATATATATATATATATATATATATATAAATATATACATATATGATTTATGTATATATATATATATGTATATATATATATATATATATATATATATATATATATATATATATATATATATATATATATATATATATATATATAAATTATATATTACACAGACACACAAAATATCATTACTATTCTATAAAACACAAAGTGAAATGTCTTGGTGCAATTTTGATGTCTTGTTAAAATTCCCTAATTATACTTGTAACTTAGTTACACTTAATAACTAAACTTAATTTTCTATTATTTAAATATTGTATAGATTATAGTTTATAGATCATAGAGTATAGAATATAGAAAATTAAAAAATATCTTTAAGCGATAAATAACTAAACAAAATTAATAATCTCAAAATAATCAACCAAAACAAGTAGACATTTTTAATTAACCGAGTTAGCGCATAATATTGTATGCGCCAAGTTGATAATATTAATTTTTCTATGGTAATTAGGACGTCTAATGTAGGTCTCAGCAACGTCAACAGGACGTTGAAAATCCTAATATCGTCTTTATATTAACGTCACAAGGACGTCCTAAAAAAGACGTCTTTATCAGACGTCTTTAGGACGTCCTAATTTGGTCTGAGACGTTGCGACCTAGTTTAGACGTCCGTAGAACGTTTGATTTACGTCTGTGCCTGCTGGGTATTTTGCGAACCGATATATCAGATAATTTCCCACAAAAAGTAATTCGAAAACGCATTTATAATAAAGCTAACCTTAATTAATTCAAAAATCAACTTTCATTACTGCACTGGAATAACATAAATTTTAATGATAATGCTAACAATATCTATGAGTCTTTTTTCAAAAAAAATTTTCTGTATACAATGCTAATTTCCCAATCATTGAAAATAAAATAACTACTAAGAGCTGCAATACACCCTGGATCACTAAAGGCTTTAAAAAATCGTCTAAAATTAAACAAAAACTATATATACATTTTTTGAAAACAAAAACACCTAAAACACGAAAAAATTTACAAAGACTACAAAAATCTATTTGAAAAAATTTGCAAAAATCTAAAAAAAAAATAATTACTCCCAATTACTCAATACATTTAAAAATGACACAAAGCGCACATGGCAAATAAAGAATGAAATTATTGGAAAACAAAAATCATGCTCAGGTTTCTGCCACAAATGGTTAGAGTCAATAACAAAAGTTTATACGAACCAAGAACTATAGCTCAAGAATTGAACAAATTTTTTATCGATATAGGTCCAACACTTTTTTAAAAAAATCCCTAAAACCAAATCTTTATTTATTGATTTTCTAGTACCCATTGATAATTGCATTGGTTCAGTTGAGTTGGCTTTTGAATTATTGTTTGAAGAGTTTGAAAGAGCCTTCAAATCGTTAAAAAGAAATGAAGCAATTGGAGCAGATCAAATAAATGGAAACGTTATTATAGATTGTTTTGAACAGCTAAAAGTTGTTCTTTTTAAAGTTTTTAAAGCTTCTATCCATCAAGGTGTTTTCCCCAAAATGTTAAAAATTGCCAAAATTATTCCTATTTTTAAAGAAGGGTACAAATCAATTATTAATAACTATCGCCCTACTTCTGCTCTTTCTATATTTTAAAAAATTATAGAAAGAATTATATATAACAGAGTATACAAATATTTTCATGTTAATAAATTACTTTACATTCATCAATTATGTTTTAAAAAGGATAGCTCAACTGAGCATTCAATTATCCAATTTGTACATGAAATCTCAAAATCATTTGAAAAATCACAATATACTCTAGGACTTTTTATTGACCTATCAAAAGCTTTTGATACGGTTGATCACCAAATTTTATTCTATAAGCTTAAACACTATGGAATAAAAAATAAAGTTTTAAAATGGCTTGAAAGCTATTTGTCAAATTGTAAACAACTTGTTCCATGTAATGTCGGTTATCATACCAATTGTCTTTCTATAACTTGTGGAGCCCCACAAGGCTCAATTCTTGGCCCACTCCTTTTCCTAATTTATATTAATGATTTAAATAAAGCCTCTAAACTAACAAGTGTTATGTTTGCAGATAATACTAACTTATTCCATTCCAACAGTGATATCTTTGTACTTTTTAAAACAATGAACAAAGAGTTTATACATGTATCGAGTTGGTTTAAATGTAATAAGTTAACTTTAAATACTAATAAAACAAAGTGTACTTTATTCCATTCGCTTTCCAAAAAACGGTATTTGCCATAAAATTACCTAAAATTTTTATTGATCAAATTGAAATAAAAAGGGACTCGTAACAAAATTTTTAGGTATTTATCTTGATGAAAACATCACTTGGAATCATCATATCGACTACTTAAGCACTAAAATTTCAAAAAAAAGTAGGACTTTTATATGAAGCACAAATCTACCTCAAAAAAAAAATTTAATCAAACTATATTATTCATTTATACACAGTTACTTAAATTATGGTAATATCGCCTGGGGTAGTACAGAAAAAGTAAGTTGCAACGTCTTTATCGCCGTCAGAAACATGCTATCCGTTTAATCTGCTTTGCAAATCGCTTTTCTTGCGCAAAACATTATTTTATTGAAATGAGAATTTTAAATATATACGAGCTATATATATAATGTTTTATGCTTTGTATACATGTGGAAAAATGACTTGTCTCAATCTGCCTTCAAAAATATTTTTACTCCGAAACCCTTAAACAAATACAAATTTGAGAAATTCTAGTTTTTAAAATGAACGTTTTTGTCAAACGAACTTTAATCAATTTTGTATTGCCTTTCCGGCACCACACCTCTGGAATAAAATTGTTTTGCCCAATTTTGACTTCGAACTACCAATTAATTTTCGTTTTTTTAAAAGTAAATTTAAAACCCTAATTTTTTCATTAGATGTCGTATTATGTTATTATTAATAATATTAGTTAATAACTTTGCCTTTTCTTATTTACATTTGTAAAAAGTTTATTCTTACTTATTTTGTTGATTTTTTATTCTTTACTTCACGTATACGTTTATTATATAAAATATTGGTGAGTAGATCTGCGTGATCTCTCTTTAGATTATAAAATATATATTTGGATTATATATATATAAAATTTGTAAAAATTTGATACTGTTAATGCTTGTTTGAACTTATTTAAGGTTCTGACGACAAGATTCTTTGATCGTCTTTCAGATACCTTATTTTATATTTGTGAAAGTTATTATTATTATCATTACTTTTTTGGCAACTGTTTAGTAGAACGCCAAAATCAATCGATAAAACGAACATTTTTAAAGGTGCTAGAAGATGCTGCTCTTGAACGGCCATTTATTATTGACGGAGTTTTGTTTTCAATGCGAATTAGAAAACACAAATCAACTGGATTTTCACCCTTTGAATTACTTTATCAAAGAGAACATGTTCTGTTGATTGATATAGATCGGAACCTAATTGACTATAATGATAATGTTACTCTGATTGAACCTAATTGAACTCTGATTGAAGACGACTCCCATAACAAAAAAAGCAATTTTAATAAAATGAATGAAGCATTCAATAAAATGAATGGAATGAAGAAGTGTATTTTTGATGAAGCTTACAAAAACATCCACAAATCACAAACAAGGTAAAAACGCTAGTATGACAAAAGAGTTAACCCAAAGAATTGTATTGTTATAGGAACAAAGGTTTTATTGCGAAATCATAAACGTGATGACAAAAAAGGTGAAAAGCTTGTGAAGCCATTGATAGGACCAATCACGGTAATT